GGCAAAGCAATGAGCCTGTTTTTAGGAACGAACTTTTTACGGATCATATATGAAAGAATTTTAACCAAGTTATTGTACTATTTCTTATATACATTTTAAAACATAATAATATAAGCCTTGTAGTCTATTTCAAAAAATTTAAAGATTTAAGAGTCTAATCGCAGTCACTGTATATTTATTTATATTGGTCCATCTTTTCGAATATTACTGTACCGTTCGCTTTTACATATTTTTATGGGTCTGCCGATTTTCCCACTGTCTGTAATTCGAATTCTCTCGAGATATGTATAATACGAGCTTTATTTAAAATATATAAATTTTGGTGATATGTCTACAGATTTTAATTTGTACACCATTTTCACCTATGTGTTTTTCCCACGTGCGACAGAAGGGAATAATTTCGCATGCCCGATACTGTTGCTTTTTTTAAATATCACTTTTCTTTCTCTTGCTTTTTTGTCACAAGAGTGACAGCGATTCTATAATTCTTAGGTCTCGGTTGGAGATCAAATAAAATATTTATATTACGATAAAAAATTCAGTTGAGGTGAAAATAGGCCTTATACACATTACAATGAAAAAAAAAACAAAGAAATTCAATAAAAAAGGGGAAAATATCAACCAAAATCGTAATGAAGAATTTAAAAGGAAACAAAAACATATACAAATATCTAGGTTTATAATTTTCAAACGAAAAAAAAGTACACAAATATTTAGGTTTGTAATTTTTCATCCCAGCACTCTTTTTTATAAATTTCAACATTTATAAATGTTGGAAAAACTCCGAAGCCATTTTCCTCCGTTAAATGTCATTAAGTAATTAAATTGTCAGAAAACTTAAGGACTCCCATAATAGAATAAAAAGGGGACGCAACTAGTCCCACTTAATGGGGCATTCTTTTATTACGCCTAAACATGCTCAATGACCATGTATTATACGGGTTGACCTTTTTTAGATGAAGTAAAATGTTGAGGAAACAAAGTGTTAACAAACATTAACACTTCATTAATAACCACAGGCATATAATTAGCTATTGTTACTATTTTTATTTGCGGGCTTTTTTCTAAATGAAAAATTTTCTCCCAGATTTTTCCACAATTTATTATTAAAGTATACTCATTTTTAATATTAAAAATAAAACTCCATCCATCCATTCAACCCCTACATTTCAACATCAACTTTCGTAAATCAACGATTTCATCATGCTTGAGAGCTTTTTATTTTAACGTATTACGTGATTTAAATGCTGTTGAGACAATCCCAAAAGCCCTTAATTCATAGCTGTTTTGGGGTAAAATGTAAATAAAATCTGTCTGGAAAACGGCGAGTACAAATATTTGTTTGTGTGTCGCTTTAAAAACCCCCGGGATATTCAATAATGTTGTAATAATTCTATATTAGAATCACAGACAATTTTGAGAAACATATTTTGTTTTTGGCTTGGTAGTTATTGGTTTATTTTTGTGTTTGATTTGTGGTTTTCTTAGCTTAGCTTTTGTGTAAATACGTATACGCCTAAGGTTAGGTCTATGGCATTTGGGGGCGTATGAATTATTGACATCAATCATACGCTTCAGTGAGCAGAGTATTTATTTATGTTTATATGTTATTTGAATGTCATCAGATGAGAGGCAAACTGTGGAATTTAATTTTAGACGATCTAATGCCACAAGAAAATGTCTTTTTAAATTTAATATAGAATCAAAATAGAATAATCATAAAGCTACGTAAAATCCAAATTTGTCTTGTATGAATTAGTAAAATTGCAATTCTGTTCACTACAAAAAAAAGAGTGGACCGAAATTTTCAATATTGGAATGTGATCATTGTTTGTAAGAAATATTATGATGCACATAGTTTAGATGAAATCGGTTACTCCCTTCGAGCATTATCGTACGCACCCAGCCAGCTAAACAGACAGATCCTATCGATGTTGACAAATATGTGAAAACTCATAAAAAGCCATACATCATTTTTCAAGATATATATTGATCTACCTATTTAAATTAAGTTTTAAATCAAAAGAGGACTGAAACTACGCATTGATGGTTATGATATAAAAAAGATTACATTTGGATAAATTGACCAAAAACTTGTGAAATTCAATTTTATATTTACAAACGTGATTTGTAGGCACCCTTTTCTCTTCAGACCCTTAAATTTCCTTAGACATTCTCCTCGTTTTGTCATTATTTAAATCCACAAAAAAAATAATTTAAACTTTCACATCTGTCCCTTTCTATGGAACAACAATGTAATCAATAATAAATATTCTCCATATTTTTGTGTGACAACATTAAAACTGTCTGCAACAAAGTTTTCGAAATCTGTAGTCAAACAAAAACACCTGAGAAGTTTCGTTAACAGTTCTTCGTTTGTTCGAAAACAATTTCACCTAGAAAACTTTTTAATTTTAAAATATTAATATCATAATTTACTTAAATATTAATTATTATAAATTTTCAAAATAGCTGACAGTTGAATATTTTACGCTCCAAAAACACAAGAACAAGAGAAAAAGGAAATTAAGGCCATAAGACAATTCACTGGACATGCCGGTAAATTCTCTTGAAAAGTAGAAATAAGAAATGCCGAACAACAAGAAGTAGTCTTGAAATATTTACATAGTAGAAAAAAATGAATGAGAAAGGACTAAAAGGACCTTGTTGTTGCTGTTGTCGTCGTCCTCAAATACCTAAAAACCCATTGAACCAATAAGAAATTTCAAATGCTTTTCATTCTGACTACCTTTTGCAGTAAGGACCGGCAGTCATTGGCATTGGTGGTTGATGATGATGTTGTTGAACACTTAAAAGTTGTCAGTTGAGTTCATGCAGACTTTTTGCCTTTTAACTGGTCCAGTTCTTTTTTTCCTTTCTCTATCTTTGTCCCTCTTTTGCCAGTGGACAAAAGTGTAATTAAAATTAAGTATCAATGGCACAACAATGGAGAGTAACATCTTTTGTTCGGACACAGAACAACAATGCAAAACGAAACTAAAGTCATTAAATAAATAAAAAACAATGTGTAAATAAGCAGTGAATTTATACCTTGAACTTTATTTTAAGGGTTTGGGGCGGGGTAGCAAACAAAATTTCTATTTCTTATTACCTAAGAGTGGAAAGAGAAACCATAAAAATTACAAATCAAGAACAAAACAACTATAAAGGATATAAAAATATTTTCACGCAATCAGCAAAATGAGACAAACAAAAATACAACCAAACGCACACATACATTCCTAAAAGGAAAGCACAGTGTGGTGGTACTTGGAGCACAGGATCAAGGCTGTGTTTTTGGTGGAACAATGCCACAGCAAACCAAAACGAAGAAAACTGCATGACAGAGTAAAACTTGGAAACTTTCAAACACATAAAAATAAAAACCAATTTAAGAAAAATAACAATTTGATTGTGACACCACACATACACACACACAAAACTCAGCAACCTTCATGGAAGTGGAATGCTAACAACCTCCCTTGAGACGTTCGTGTCAACACATTTGTATGTACACCGCATGATGATTTGGGAATCATAGCATTTATGCCAGCTTACTGTTTCCACATTATATAACAAAAATATGTGCGATTATATGCCACCTATGTGGGTAAAAGTGGTGTCGAAGTGGCAGGAGAACGAGTACCACAACGAAAAAAAACCTTGAAAAGATTTAGGCAAAAATTTCAGTAAACATTTCACAAAAGTGACGAAGAAAAATGAAATGAATTTATTTTCATATTTATGGAAATTCCTAAGCATAAACCCAAAGTATTGAAACAAAGACTTAATATCATGCAAAAACACACACACTCACGCACATCCAAAAGCTGACAGAAGATGGCTTTAAACAATTTTACAGCATTGGGTAAATAAATTAGATTATCGGAATATAAAAAAAATTAATGGAGTTAAAAGTATATGCAGGCAAGGTAAATACGTCCATAGATGTCATCAGGGCGTGTACTCCGTGAGTTGCAGCTCCAATGCAAAATTTCGTTGGCCTTAAATTATTATGTGTACACTGTCCTAACCTCTAATATATCGTTATGGGCTCATGAATCTCCAGTTTGAGTCTATAATAACTCTCAATCTATAAATATCTCCCGATTGACAGTTCGTCTGTAAAAACTGCATCAACTCCCTAAGTTTCAACTAAAAACTATCTCGGTTTGTCTCTAACGATTCCCTTCAGGTAGTTTTCTATAACTCTCATTTAGCTTCTAGCAATATTTTAGCTCGTCTATAAAGAATCCCTTCAGCTCGTCTATGAAGGCTTTCTTTCAGTTCGTCTATAACAGATTCCCTCCAGCTCGTCTATGAAGGCTTCTTTTCGGCTCATCTATAAAATCCTCTCTTCGACTCGTCTATAAAACCATCTCTTCAACTCGTCTCTAAAAGACTCCCTTCAGCTCGCCTTAATACATAAATACTACCTTTAGCTCATAAAGACTCCATAAAGACACCATGCAGGTTATCTCTGGACTGCCTTCGGATTATTTATGGTCTCAAATGATCGCCTTGAGTTCCTTTTTCCTTTTTCCATTCTTTGTTTTTTAGCTTTCGTTTGATTTTAACCTCTCAATTCAGAAGACCAGTGACTGTATCTCTGGTTTGCATGATTATATTATGACGACGTCTTGTTTGCCATTTTCGTTGACATTCTTTTAATGTTCATGACTTTTATTATTTTCCATATTTGGATTGTATTTTTTGCCCTTTTTAAGGGGGTTTTATTTATTTACTTTTTTCCTTTTCTTCATTGCTGACATTGTTGCTCTAAATATTGTCGGTTTATGATGATTGTTTTATGGTGACTGCAAAAAACACACAGCAAACCTCTTCTACCCACACACATAAACAAACACAAAACAGTTGGATGCCTTTAAGAAGGACATTTTTTTATAAAATTTATTTCGAATATTGTTATGCAAAGCCATTGAAATAATTATTTTTCTAAAAAAAACGATGTATTTTCTTTTTTCACTTTTTAGGTTTCTTGGATAAGAAAACGTGATTTACATATCCTAACAGCAGGTTCTACCACCTATACATCTGATCAAAGATTTCAGGTGAGTTTGGATTTTGTGTGTCTATAATTTTCTATGAAATTATGAAAACAATAAAAAATCATTTTTTCTATTTGTTTTCATTGTGTAAATATATGTAGGTCCTGCGTCCTGAAAACTCTGGCAATTGGACATTACAAATCAAATATCCACAGCCGCGGGATTCTGGCATATATGAATGTCAAATAAACACCGAGCCAAAGATGTCCTTATCATATACTTTCAATGTTGTTGGTAAGTTATGAGAAAGTGAAACGATAAAAATGTATTACAAAAATATAAAAATATGTAAAATACTCTTCGAGAAAGTGTAACTTAAAAATCTTTATTGTGTTAAATAAATTTTATATTGATTTTTCTTTGTGAACTTTTTAATATATTATTCGATTTTGTAAATTTCGAATATTTTATTATATTCCATTTTTTTTAATATGTTGTTTTATTTTTGAAATATTTTTTATCTGTAGGGGTATATGGTATAAATAAAGTTATATATATTTTGTTAATAGTTCTGTGTTTTATTTTTTTCAAAAAGGGTTATGAAATATAAACTTTCCAGATATTCTTATAAAAATAATAATTAGGAAATTCAAATTGTATGTAGTTTGCGCCTAAAAATATGCTCTGAAACATAATTGGAAGAAATAAACTACGAATTTGGTAGCACTGGCAAATGTATACGGATAGCGCCATCTATTGATATACATGATTCAAATTCGGCAATTCATTTTTCAAACACATCAACATACATATATACACTCGAATTCTGAAGCACGTTAAATCTCATTTTTCATTGAAATAATGCAGTAAATTAATTTTTTTTGTAGAAAATTGCAATAATTTTGAAAAAATCTTATAGTACGTTTACATTGTACAGGATTTCATTAACCCTGTGGGTTTAAATTGTCAATTCCATAGTATATATGGAACAAATAAATCCTCATAAAGTAGGTTAGTCCGATAAAAAGTTCTAATGTAAATGCCGTTTTGTACTATATAATAAAACCCATGACGATTTTAGAATTGCTTTCGAATTGTTTCCTAGCAAATAAACCACGCCTATGGAATAAGATAAACCATATTTATTAATAAGCCACGGCTATGGTAGGAGTTAAAAATAATTTAAGAAATAAGTCACGCTTATGGGTTCAGCTTAAGGAATAATCCACGCTTAATGGGCGGAGCATAAGGAAAACTATGAAGTAAGCCAAGCCTTTGGGCGGAGCTTAAGGAATAAGCCACGGCTATGGGCAGAGCTTATGGAATGCATATGAAATAAGCCATGCCTATGGGCGGATCTTACGTAATAAATATGAAATAAGCTGCGCTTATGGACGGAGCTTATGGATAAAATATGAAATAAGCCACGCCTATGGGCGGAGCTTTTGGAATAAATGTGAAATAAGCCACGCCTATGGGCGGAGCTTTTGGAATAAATGTGAAATAAGCCACGCCTATGGGCGGAGCTTTTGGAATAAATATGAAATAAGCCACGCCTATGGGTGCAACCTATGTGTGCAACATATAGAAACGCCTATGGGTGCAACATATGGATACAACCATGCCTATTGGCGGAGCTAAAATTTTTTTACTAAATAAGTCACACATTTGTAGGGAGCAATTTTGGGCGGAACTATAATTATTTATGCGATAAACCACACCTATAGGCGTAGAGATTATGAAATTATTCTCGCCTATGGGCGGATTTTATTCAGTACTAAGAGTTTAGTACTTATTTGCATTTAGTTTCACAAAAATTGTATAATTTCTTATAGTTTTCAAGCAAAAAAACGAATTTAACGTGGCCCAGATTTTTCGTGTATATATGTATGTTGATGTGTTTGAAAACTTGTTTGGCCAATTTGAATCATGCCATTCAATAGATGGCGCTATCCCGACACATTTCCCAGTGCTACCAAATTCACCGTTGAAAACAAAATCGAGCATATTTTTAGGCGCAAACTAAGTATTATTTGCATTTTAAACTAGAGCAAAATAAAAAACAACACATTTTTTATTTTTTTATAATTAATGAAATCTTCTTTATTCTATTTTATTTATTAAATGTACATATAAAAAGTAAGGTTCCTTTACATTTAATGGCATCGAAATACGCAGGAAAGGCTCCTTCGTCTGATATTAAAGCCACTGCGAGCTGCAAAGAAAAGAAAAAAGAAAAATAATTCATTAGAAAAACAAACAAATGGATCTTTAAACCAAAATTATAATTTAAAATTAGAATTTTCATAAAAGTATTAAGCAAATTAAACATTTAAATACGAACCCAAGGGAATAATCTTGGTCAAATGTTATAAGGAGATGCTCTTTTGATTTGAATGGTCAATAATGTATTATGAATGTCAAAAATTAACAACGAAAGTTCAAAAACAGCTATAGAAAACTACTTCGATAATACGTCATAAATCAACATGTGTTTGCCCTTTTTATGACCTTTATATCTAATATTTAATCTCCAAGGATTTTAAATCCAAAAGACACTTTTCAACAACAAAGTTGTATTGAAGAGCATTATTTAAGCAAAAATTTCGCGTTGGCTGATTTTTTTTTAATTTTTGAAAAGTTATTAAAATTAATATTAATTACTGGAAATTCTTTACGTTTATTCGAAAACAATATTTAATGGATATTTTCACCTGACCAAGTTGATGGCTGACAGTATGCTCAGCATATAATATAACTTTCATATTTCAAACCCTAATTTCATAATATTGAAATAATCTACAAACAGATTGTAGGAAAATTCGTTTAATATTTATAACATCTACACGATTCTTCATACTATCCTCTTTTCGTTGTAAAAAAATCCTTCTTTTGGATCATTAAATATTTGACTAGGATACATTGTTTATAACTAAAATTTTTAAATGTTAAAGTTCATTTGTTATTTTTGGGAGAAGGTATCAGAAAGCAGTAGCTTATCTAATTCTGCTTTATTAAAAATTCATATTTTTCTTTGCTATGCCTAGGCATTGAAATGTAGATATTTCGTTCAGTAATTCACATATATATACAAAATTTTTTTGTAAAACTAATCCCTTAACAACATAGAAAATCATCGTTGGATCCTTACTCCTTTTTTGTTTTGTTTTTTTGTTTCTGTACAAACAACAACAAATATTTTATCTAAATTGTTTTGAATTTCTCAGCTTTGCTCTTAAATATGCATAAAAATCCATTATTTATGTACATAAGAAAAAAGAACACTTGAAAATATCTTTATGTCAGACACACGCACACAAATGGCTACCAAACATATGGTACGGTTTAGTAAGGGAATGAAAAAATAAAAAACAACGTCTATGAAAAGCAACAGCCCCAAAAATCATTCCCATTAACATCCATCCGCCCGCCCACAAGCGCCAAAGAACATCAACAACATTAAGATAAGAAATAACCCTTTTTTCACTTTTTGAAGAACTTTATAAATATTACGTCGTTGTTGTTGCTGTTTTTTGTAAATTGAAAAACTTACAAGTGTAAAGTGATGACCTGAATAAAGGAGATGTAATAAATGAAAGGCTGAGAAATAGGCTATACACTGAGAGTAATTTACATATGTTAGTGTATTGCGTATGATAATGGCAAATTTTTAATAAAAATAATTGGTTGGAGAAAATTTAGGGATAAGGATAATGGAAAATTATAAAAAATACATTGTATCGTACTATTAAAGGAATGAGTGTGTTAATTAACTTAACATTAGTATCAATTAATTTAATTAATATACTGATTGAAATACCAGATAAAAAATAATTTCAATTTATAATGACGTCACAAAAAAGAACATATACGAGGACCACTATATATATATACATTAGAGCTGGCCAATTTTTTTGTCGAATTAATCTAACCCTAGGATGATTCTATGGACAATTCTAAGCAACTTTGGTGAAGGAGCCATAGGTCTATCTCGATTTTTTGGGTCTCCCATTATGTTTCCCTATAACATCAGTTTGTTTCAAAAGTCTAAATTTTTGTCGTAGCAAAGTGTAGCCATCGGACTGAGTGTAGAATTATTAAGTCGTGAATATATTCGTGCAATAATTCTTAAAAACTCACGGCAAGAGTGTAGCGTTGAATTTAAATCTTTGCATTGCGATGAAACACCGATCTCTCCAAGCCGATGGTCTTCCAAAAATATTCGTTGTCCCAGAGAACATTGATTTCGTGCAAGAAATGGTAATACCAGATCGTCACGTATTTTCTTCCACCGGCATGCAATCCATATTACATAAACCCCTGTCCGTAAAGAAGTTTAATTGCATTGCATACTGCAAATAGGTCAAAACCAGCCTCGTTTCGATCGATGTCAAGAAATCCTTTATAAGACGATTATAAGATCGTCATAATTGACAATTCATGGATATATGAGTATGAGACCGAAACCAATCGAAACCAAAACCATTGAAAATATTCATGGCAGGGCATTTCGAAGCAAATGGTTTCTTCGACAAAACTGGGAATGTGGCGACTTATGAGAAAGGTAGGAAGGCAATTTTTTATTTTAACTAAATCTACGAATGAATTCCAAAGAAGAGCAAGACAAATAATTGTATAACAACCATCTTTTAAATATCCGGTCAAAGCGGGGAATCGGATCATCCGCCCTACAGGCCAGACAAGGCAACCAATGTCTCCTTTATATTCTTTTGCCTCAAGAATAAAATGCATGTCAACGATTTTCGTAGAATAAGCTGTTGAAACGTTGGAGGTGTTTCAATCGGAGTGATAATTGTGATTAGACTATGGGTTTGATCCCATGAAAATGAGAATACACTGGACAACAATAAAACCATCTTTGATTATAAATATAACCTTTTTCAATATTTAGGACAGAAAAATATATAGTAGCCCTCGTCCATAAATCATGATTACCATATATACCTATGTTCCATCACATGTTGTTCCTCAGACTCAAAGAAGTGTTGTTTCTTCTTCTTTTTTATTATATGTTACCCTTTTCTAAATGTTTTTGAAAAAAACCTTTGATAACAGATTTGCTCATGAGTTTCAAGTGTTGTTGATTCTATTAAAAGTATTATCTTTATATAAATTCATATCTAAAACCAAATAAACAAAGTCATAACTTATGACTTTTTGACGGAGGCCATAGCTTAAATAACAAAAGTTAAATTTTTTTTACATTACAAGTACGGTTGAAAGATACCCAAAAACCAACGCCAACAACAACACAAAAGGGTTAGTTGATAAAA